ATCTCTTTAATGACAGAAAAATATGGGATTTTCTTTACGCGGAACGCATGAACCTTGTAGAGTGTAATCAATATGCGCTAATGCAACGAATGATCAGGCTCCAAATTTTTCGGCAATTGGAAAACTTTTTTGAAACCTAATTATACTCCTTCCTTAGGTATCAAATATAAAGAAGACGTGATTCTCTATTGATTGACTAAAAGAAACCATATTTTTGTTTGTGGTTTCTCAAAAATATATTTGAATTTCCAAGACCATCGAAAATCAATGGGAAAACTGCATGCTACTTAAGTAGTCATTTTTTGCCGAGCACGCTTTCTAAAGAAGTGCATTTAAAAGCCGAGATCCTGCCGAGTCCAAAATGTTATAAGAGTGTGCCTTAAGATAATCAGTATCACAACCGCGACCAAGTAATCCTTCCTAATCGAAATCGCATTTCATGAGATAGGTCACACACTGTATTTATAGGATGCAGTCCATATGCTACCGCATACCTATATTAATTAACTGCGCTCCACCTCATCAAGAATTGTTGCTCGCTGGTGCGCTAATGGCTTGATGCTCGGCCTGCGAGTTGTTAATTGCTGAAATTGCTGATAGAAGCGAACAGGCGAGTCCCAGGTAGCAGTTCAGAAGATGAAGATGCGATCACTGGAACAAGAAGTTTATTTGCCTGACGTTTCGGATTCTCACTCGAATCCATCATCAGAGACATTCGCAGATAGTGGTGAAGGTGGCACCAGGAGTGCAGTATTTATAGCTCGTGGCTGTCGTGGGACCGTATGCGCACTGCAATTAACAGTTCTCGCAATCGCCGCCGGGGTCGTAATTGATGCGGCGGTGGCTTGGCGGTCAGAGTCCGAGTCGTTAATCGCCGCGATTTCGTCATCCGTGCTCGATGCTGGTGTGACGATTGCTCGGCAAACTGGCTCACTGTCACCGTGATAATTGCTCACCCGCGCCCTTCCCACGTGACTGATTCTCCTGCCCAGGGAAAATCGCAATACGGAATAGGGTACCGGGAGGTCATTGTGTCTGTTGACGGATTGCGGGCCTGAGAACCATGACTCGAGCAGCTCGCGGCTCACGCGGTTGTCACCCCTTGCGAGGATTTCGGCCTCTTGAAATTTGAAAATATGGCCGGGTCCCGTCGAGTGTGCCGCCACCTGAGATTTAGCGTCTCCCCGCCTCACTGCTGCCGCGTGCTTGGCAAGTCGCGTACGGAGTAATCTCCCAGTTTCTCCGACATAATTGCTTTGTCAGGCAAATAAACTTCTTGTTCCAGTGATCGCATCTTCATCTTCTGAATTGTTGAAATCTCATCACCTGTCTTAGATGCTGGCGTGATGGTTACTCGGCCATCTGGCTCACCGGCCTGCGCGCCCCCCCGAATGGTCAATTACTTTGGCCAGCCTACGCCTCAGCACGGAATATGGAGTGGGGATGTCGTTGCACTTGTTGATAGACTGACTTCCCGTGAACCATGACTCAAGCAACTCGCGGCTCACGCGATTATCCCCCTCTCGCGAGAGTTTCGGCCGTTTAACCATCTGCGTCACGTGGCTGCAGCCGACAGCCCCATTTTTTCACATACATCTAAATTACTTGTCCAGCCCACTGCAACCAATGGAAACCACCAGTTCTACCGGTAATTTTAGCGTCCTTGGACTGTAATCTTGGACGACACTGTTTCACAAATATGAGAATGTAAGCGATAGTGAAGAATCGACGCCTAAGCATTTTCAAAACGTCTTCACGTCTCCCCCGGTGTTTTCTAGCCAAATGTCTGATACTGTTGACCAAAATGTGTTAGATTCTGAAGCTGCTAACCCCCATGACAATAATTTACGCTAACAACACCTCTTATATGCTTGTTACTGTAAAATAACTTCTGGATTTAGACTAAAAATGCGGAGTAATATCGGGCCCTGTTTAGCATAATTTTTATTAAGCGTCATCGTGAATCCCTTGCCAAAATAACTGAGAAATTGAAGTCTTCGTGTAGATTATCTCCCCGAAAATATGCATTATTTCTGCACTGGTAAGTGAACTCAAAAATACTTGTTGGTTTGAGCAATTTTAACAAGAAGTGCGGTTGGCGTGACCTGTGTTTTAAAGTGAATTGAAGTGTTTTTATTTACTTGCTACTGCAAAACACATAACTTGTGCGCTTAGAACCCACATGGGAAGGAGACATTGTCGACTGCGCTTCGTGGAGACAATATTGCTAACGCAGATTGTAAATATTGTTGGTCCTCGAAAGTAATCAAAGTTATGTAGGCTACGAAGCCGTCCTGGCGTCCATATGAGACTTCTCGTTGGCCACTATATTGACCTCTGTCACGAAAAGCCTGTCATTTAGCGACTTGATATCGGGGAAAGCAGGCTAGATACGACCGGTAAACCCGACGTAGTCAAAGCCGCATTCCTCTGATGCAGAGGTCTGGCAGAGTAGAGACTGACGGCTGTCAATATTAGTATATTACTGACTGCCTTTTGGCAGCTGTGGATATTACGCGGTTATTCTGTAGTAATTGATTAATTTCAGCTCAAATATTCACGTGTAAACTTTTGAACTGAATCTTAAAGCTTTGCTCTGAAGGATTTTCTCGAAATTCACGCATTAGTTTTCCCGGAAATTTAACAAGAACTTCAAAGCTCCTCAGACTGTTGGGAGCTGAGTTTTTTTGCGGTCCTCAAAGTGGCCTACGACCCTCAAACCAGAGGCACTGCGCCATAATTCAGTTCAGACGATGACAGTTCGCTGGTTGCTACCGACGATGTCCACCGTGTGCTCCACGGCAAGGTGGGGGAGGCACGATGAACTGCGCGTAGATTTCTTTATCCTAGGTGTAGACTTTCGAAGAATCTACCCCACTCTCTCCTCCCCACTTGGGCCCGGTGTCATCACACAGTCAAGAAGACCGGCGGTAGGAGAGAGCGCAGACGGCTGGCGCGACTTAAGCCGCTCCAGCCGGCTCGGATTACACGAACTGGGAGTGTCATAGAGCCCATACTGAGAATGAACCATTGCGGCCTATTTCTCAAACTACCAATCGGCCGCTCTACTTAAACACACACTGGGAGTTCCTAGTAATCCCGTCAGTTTGTAACCTTTCAAGCCGCGGCCTTCAGCGCACCGTGATGGCTTCAAGCGCGTCAGATTGTCTATAGCGAGGAAAGTGCGCTGAGTCGTCTACCTTACTCTCCCTTCCCATTCACAGGCCCCAGTCACTGCCAGAGCTGGTCGGTTGATAGTTGCGGGGAATGGGTGCGGTGGCTGACACACCTATTGACCTTGCCTGCGCACGCCACATGCACGACCTGGCCCCCCAACAGAAGCACCAGAATTTCACACAACGGGAGCTGGGCGGCATACATCTCACATGCATGCGAGTGCCAGAGGTTACTGTAAGAGGAAGCTGTGACAGGTTGGCTCTCAACCTGCCACTCCTCCACTCCACACAAACACACAAAACTGGGAAGACTGTGTGAACTGAATTGGGGCGTCAGTCGGCAGCTTTCCAAGCCACGGCGCTTGGCGCACCGCGATAATCTCGCACTCTGACCACACATGCACCTAAGGAGTCGCATTGAGGAGGAGTCGAGAAGCACACTTCCACTTTGCATGGGGAGTGGCAACTGAATGCTTGTGATGGCTGATGGTGTTGTATGGTGCGGGTGGTGGTGGGGGAGCGTGTGGTGGTGTGCTGCAGTCGGCGGTTGTCTATTGCAGGTTTTCGTGAATTTGCATGTGTCCTAATAGACCCGTGCGGTCAGTGGATGTACGAGGGCAGTGAGCGTAGTTGAGACGGATGCGACGAGTGTATGTGGGCGCTCCAGGCACTGGTTCGCCAGTTTCTGTGCGACGTATTTGCAAGTGACCGACCAGGCCGACGGATGAGGTGAATGTACGGGTACAGTGTGGACAAGATAGATCGGGTGTGTCCGAGTGGCTTCCGGTGATGGTGGTGGACGTGCTGGGCGAGGGGGTATGGGTTGCGTTAGGCATGGTGAATGTGTAGGATATGCTAGTTATTTCGAGACTGTGGTGACTTCCGCTGTCGTGGATACGCATGTGGCCTAGTAGGTCCATGCGGTGGCTGAAAGTGCGGGGACAGTGTGAACAGTTGATGTAAATGCGGCGAGTGTATGTGGGTGCTCCATACACTGGTTCGCCATTCTTTGTGTGATGCATTCGCAAGTGACCGGCCAGGCCGATGTGCGAGGTGAGGGTGCGATTGCAATGAGAACAGGTATAGATCGAGTCCACATCGTTGGTTTTGACGGTGGTGCGGCTGATGTTTGTCGCTGTGTCAAAATAGTGTGCAGTGGTGGTGGACACAGGAGCCGCCGTAGCCGATGTCGAGGTAATGGAGGATGACAGTCTGGGTTCAGGAGCACAGTTAATGTTGATTGTCGGCGTAGAAGGCCAGGTAGAGATGGACCGAGAGGCATCAACTGGTGTCGTCCTGGTGCGGCAATAGGTCCGAAAATGTCCAATAAGATCGATTGGTGTCTGGAACATCCGCTGGCGTCGTGGACACGTTGGAGGCGGTTGTGCGTTGACATTGTGGGGTGGGCGCAGCTGAGACGGCAATGCGGTTGGCTTCGTAGATCGCAGGGCCTGTCTTCACTGCCCTTCTCCAGGTCGGTCGGTCTCTGGTGAGGTCCTCTCATTTGGCCGGATTTATTTGCAGACGCTTCAGGAAGGACTCCAGAGTATCCTTGTATTGACGAATTTGGCCTCCTTGGTGGCGGGTACCCATGGCGATATCTCCATAGAAGAGTCGTTTGGGCAGCCACTCGTCGTCCGTCCGCACGAGGTGGCCGTTCCAGCACAGTCGCAATTGTCTCACCATGGCGGGGGTGCTGATGATTCCTCTTCGTTCCAGTACGCCCGTGTCCTACATCCGGTCCTGCCACCTCAGTTTTAGTATCCGCCGAAGACAGCTTAGGTGGAAGTGGCTTAGCCTCCGCGCCTGTTTCTTGTACACCGTCTAGGTCTCCGCTCTATAAAACATTGTCGGCAGGATGGTCGCATTGTGCATCTTGAGTTTGGTGCTGAGGTTGGGCTCGTAACGATTACAGACGGTGTTCTTCAGACGACGGAAGGCTTGGCTGACCATGGAAATACGATGTGATACTTCATCTTTGATTTTGACGCTGTGGAAAAGGGTGCTGCCCAGACAGGTGAAGTTGTCCACGGCATGCTGTTGGACAGCGTTCACGTTGATTTGAGGTGCATTGTTGGCAGCGTTGGGTGGCGGTTGGTACATAACCACTGTTTCCTCCGTGTTCATGACCAGGTAGAAGTTTTCGCAGGCGCGGCAAAGAGGCCCATGCTCCTTTGTATATCCCCTTCAGAAGTGGCGTTGCGAGCGCAATTGTCGGGAAAGAGAAGTTCGTGGATGGAGGCTGTAAATACACGCGACTGGAAGTGCATCCGCCCCTGATTGAGGAGCTGGCCGTCCGCCCTAGAGGCGACGCGGGGCCCCGGACACTCGGCACAGCAGGCGTCCGTTTGCATGGCAGAGAACATGAGATTGAAGAGGGCTCTGCCGAGGAGCCTTATTAGCTGCTTACATTGAGTTTACATGTCAAATTTCCTTGTGTGCTCCTTACTTTAGTCAACTCCCTGGGCTTTTATGAACATCAAAACCTCTCCCATATAATAAGTGGTTTGACTTTCCAAGAGTAGACGTGTCCGTATAACTGTAGTGACATTTAAGTCCATTTTGTTTTAATCAGTTACAATACGCTTTTTAAAGAGCTTTGCACAATTTTGAATGAGACGTAGAACAAGCACGTGCATTTTTACCTGCCGACGACTTTGTTCCTACCGTACCAAGGCTTCCATTGTTTACTTGTTACCAATTTATCTTTTGACGTGTTAACTCTCATGGATGATCCGAAGTATGCATAGCCGTGACAGCAAATCAGAAGGCACTGCTATCAGTGAAAAAATATACTTCTAGCACGAAGGTGTGTGAATTCGAAACTTCATAAATAGTGAAATCTTGTGCCAGTGTAATCGGCGCTTTCTTTTGAGCCACCCACGCCCCTACAGTAAACAACGATGTTCTCTAAAAGACACCCCAGTAATTGTAACCCTACAGTAAATTCAGTGTTTTTGATGAAACGTAAACAACGTCGTCAGAACGCGCCTCTTTCACAGTCAAATCGGCGTCAAGTGACGCTGCTCCGATTTGACCAGTCAGCGGCCAGACCAGTACTCTTAGCGTACCCCTAGCGTGAGAAGTAAATACCTTGCTAGTGCATACGAAAAGGCGAATTCCAGATAGAAAGCTGGAAGAAGTCTAGTCGATCAGTGGAACAATGACCAGTTCATGTGAATGTAGGGTTTGAATAAAATCGTTTTTGCATGCTGGATTCGACTTTTTTTAGTGGACAACCCGATCTCTGTAAAATGTACGACCTTCAGGTTAAGTGCTGTGCCTGTAGTCCAGCTAAATGGGACGAAGGGGGACCAATGTCGCTTGCGTAAGCGCGCTCGACGAGCCCGCACGGTCTACTGTCTGCGCTGAGCTGGGAGACCCCGATTTGGCCGTCATGATGGCTGCGCCAATCGGCCACCCGCGGGGGTGGCAGGCGTCGAGTGCCTGCAAGGTCCTGTAAATCGGGGCGGCAGAATATGCCGATTAATCGATCAGCCAGCATATGCTGTCAGTTGCGGCCGATCCGTTCGTCAATGCAGCCCCGAGTAAAAGTTATCGCAGCTGCCGCCTCTTCATTATTCAGGAAGGCCTTACTAACTGCACTGGACGAATTTTCATGAAACATCTCGCTGACGTGACTGATCATATATGTCTTGCAAGCATCAAAGTAATGGCAGACAGAGGTTCACAGAAGTGCACGCTTCGGTGTGCCTTTTACCAGTATGTTTTCCGTTGTTGATTTCCAAAGTCGCCTATAAAATCTGATATTTCGAGTCTGGTAATTTCGGGCCTTGTGACGGTAAGCAGCGGACTATACGAAAATCCGACCTTTCAGCGGTGGGTATTACCGTTCCAGGCCTCTTTCTCCGAGTCCAATTGAGCAGTGCTGAAAAATCCTGTTAAGATGGACCTCAAAGTCTTCGGCAAGCCGACGTTTTTCCCGTCTAGCTGGAGAGCCAACGGGTCGAAAGTTGTGGACTCAAAGATCGCTGAAGCCTATCAAGCCTGGCGGGTCATTTAACCGTATTATTTTGAAAGAAATAGATATTTCGGCGGTTCGATTTCATTAGTCCAAAAATAAGAAGAATTCCTATGAATTTACCACTCATTGTTTTACTGTATTTCATTCTTGATGCACCAGTAATTTAGAAAGTGGCCTCTTCATTAAGATTAAAGTGACCTCATGGGGTTAGCCTCTGTTGCTTTGACCGAATTAAAAGATGAAGTCGCCGTCCAGTTTTGGCTCGGAGCTCCAGATTAAGGACCATAGTAAGCATTTGCGTAGCGGTGAGCAGAAAGAGACGAACTCGGCCTGAATACAAAGACAAAGGATACTCTAATGAGTGTTCGTGGGATGTCATTCAGGCTTAGTCGGCCATAGTCTAAAACCAAACCACGAAGACCCTAGAAGTGTGGATGGGTCGTTTTTTATGCAGCACCATTTGCCACTGAACCTTTAACACGTCCGCTGTAAGCACGAGTACTCAGGATCATATGACCAGACGGGATACCCGCGGCCCCCTTTTGTCTCAGGGAACCGGTCGAAATATATCGCAGGTGGACGTGTAACTGCGAACTGTCAGCAACTAAGAGACCTTACGGAAAAAAGCAAAGGAGACTGGATTGATTACGTCCTGACGGCCTACTTGGACCGAGACTGAGTCGGACTCCCGTCATTTGGCCACGAAGAGAAAGCGGTCAAGGTTGCATGAGAACGGCATTGACTTGTCTGTTTTGGTTGTAGGACGGAGTACGTCTCAACTAAGTCCCATATCTTGACGGATCTTGACTTTTCATCGAGGTCCAGCCTGTGGCCCTCTAAGGCTCTACTACTGAGCCGCGGGTTTGTCATGAACCGTCTCTACCTCAATCAGGGTGTGCGCCCGGTCACCTTATTTGTTACGGGGGTCGAAAAAGTCAGGGTCACTCAAGTTTATAACAGGGACTTTGCCGCAAAGCACCCTCAAATGGACGCGCTGACCTCCATCGACTTCAGCTCGGACACACTCGTGTCCGGGCAGTCACGATCGTTCACGTCCCACTTGAGTACGCCAGCCTCGGATAACGCAACACAAACCAATAGACACACTCAATTCAGGGCGCTCTAGCCAGAAGCAATCTCGACCAAGCCGCGATGGCCGCATAAAAGCAGCTGACACCGTAGCCTGTCTCCCCCATCCCAGACGCCACTTAACACCCTCACACACACCCCCTGGCCTCACTAGCGCCCACTGTTGTCTGAGGCAGCTATCACGGGTTTCTCACGGAGAAGCGGCCTGATGAGAGTGGCGTTCCAGGCGCACCATCACTTCAGCTGCTATCGGCTTAAACCCTGGGCTTGAGGTCAAGGGCATTCATAGGCAGACATGGGTTATGTTCACCGATTCGTCTCGGTTTTTGGATGGAATGCAGTGTTCCGCCTCCCTAGACCTCATTTCTCATGAGGCCCGAGTAGACCATCGTTAGTCTCACGTAGGCTCTGCAGAAAATGGCGATGAGATTAATTTTCACTTCAGAATCTATATCGGTCTATCCTCTACCAAGACAGTTGAGACAGCCTCATTGATTTCATGTTGTGCCAGTGGTGGACGGCGTCCTTTTTCATTCTGCCTCTTTCCAAACATGTTCTAGAGTTTTAAGCTTGGTAGTTGCTTTATGTATTTATGCTTAACTCTAGGCTACTGAGTCTGCACTGTGAGTACATCCCATTTCCCTAATACTCTACTACCACAATACTTCCCACATAATCACGATTAATGATGCAGATCTGAAATTTAGAAAAAAGTAGGAATGAGAGCCGTCTAGATAGTCATTCGATGTTTCACTGCCACATAGGAAAGAGCGTATTATCCAACTTTTCGCGACTTCACCAAAATTCATCCTTCCCCGCTAGGTAAGTAGGAACTTTAGGACATGGTCCGATCTTCTGACTGATCTCTCCCCGAGTTCGGATGGTTCAGGGGAGTCAGTCGACAGCTAAGCGCTCGACCTGTCCACTTGACAGAGAGGACAGCCCACATGAGCACAAGTCGTCCGATAATCCAACAGTTCCACCGTCTGCCGTGTCCGGACGGATATCCCCACAAAAAACATACATGAGATGGTCTTCGTATTAGAGTAGTTTATTTCCAGCCCCGCTTTGCGTGAAGTACCGTCAGCGTGGTCAGGCTCCGTGGTACAGGGAACCCTGGCTACTGTAGACAAGTGCGTTCTAGTCACGTACTGAGAAACCCAATCTATCACATTATTGAACGAACCGTAGATCGTAACCACGCTCTGCTACCTGACTTTAACTGCCTCTAAGGGCATTTTTCATTACTCTCGTAAAATATATACTGAATTGAGGTTGTACAAAAAACATCCCCGACGTTATGTGGAGGGAGCATTCGAAATTGTATCAGAAAGTCTCGTATAGACCAGTATGGGAGTTCGCAAGAAGATATTACTCATCCGTTGTCTCACTATTCGTCGGTTTTTCTGATACACCGAGGAAATCCTCTATAAATGGTTGGCTACGATTGCAGTTCTGCTCGATGGCAAGGACGACCTAGACTCCGACTGAGTGGATGGCGTCTGCCCACTTCTGAGACTTGGCAAGATGGTCTTCCTCCCAGAATGTCCTGTCTGAAATGAGTGACATCATCATATATTGGTTACCTCCGGTCGCTGAGGTGGAAATACTATACGACCAACTGATCTCACAAATTCGGGACAACCTTCTGATATGATCACTAGCTGAAGAATGCCCGAGATCTCCGGCAGTCTCAGTTCAGGATCCGTATCGGCCCTATTGTACAGTGGGACTGATCTTACGTCGTTGGTCTGTGACCTCCGGACTGTCACAAAAGTGAACAGCCCTTACATCATCCTTTCACTAGAGACCCAACCCTTGAGAAGAGACCCACTACCGTCTAGCGCATCCACCGAGGTAGTTACGGGAGGATTCTTCACTCTGAGCCAACTGGTCTCGGATCAAAACTCTTCAGGGACAGTCTGTGTCTGTGTCAGCGCATGTGAGCTTTCGAAGACAGCCTATCACGGCAGAAAAAAACATGAACAGGCCCCAACCATTACGAACTTCAGGCCGGTCCTGAACAGAACGAACAGGTTTTAGACACCGACAG